CTAATTAAAAAACTAATGCAGATCCTACAAGTCTGCATACATTAGCTAGAACTTCAGAAAGTTGCTTTTGAGGACTACTACTTCTAGACTCCTATGGTCGGTGACCATGCTGGGGGACTTGGGGAGATATGGTTCCCAGAAATAACTTCCCCAAGTATAGATGACCTGGTTATCACCAGCTTCAACTATTGTATTCCTGCAGTGTTTTGCAACACCTAATCAGAAAGTTCTTGTTACTCTTTGCAAGCATATTCATTTTGGAACAACAATGTTCCAATCAGAAAAAAATTGAAAATACACCCTTCAAAATGCTGAGCCATTCTATGAGAATTTTCCACAAATATAACTTAAACAAAACCTTGACCTCCAACACTGAAGCATCACTGTTTGTTTGTTTGTTTATTAAATGGGTATACCACTCCACTAGTGCAGTTGCACTACTCTGGGCAGTTTATGATCAACTAAAACAATACATATAAATAAAAATAAAACACTGTATTTCAAACGTAATTTCAAATTTCAAACACAAAATAAGTGGTGGAAATAAAGTGCTATTAATAAGACTTTTTTCACAAATTAACATGACATGTTGGAGATATTTTTTTTATTCATTCATTCATTTATTCATTCACTCATTCATTCAATTTGTATCCCACTCCCATTAGTGCCGAGGCACTACTGTGGGTGGTTACAACTAGAGATGGAGATATTTGTATATGAATATGAATATCCCCCGTACAGGTGGTGTTAACGAGGGTCCAGTCCCATGGGCCCGGACAGTCCACTCACTGATCCGCCCTGTACGCTGACAGTGCGATTCTACGAATGACTCCGCAGTGCGCAATCCGCTCACCACTTTTCAATCTTGCAGCGAGGCTTGTCCTGCCTCCTGCCAGGAGTGGTGAGCGGATCGTGCGCTGTGGAGAATCATGCCATCCACGTCCATGGCGGATTGGTGAGTGGACCATCCAGCCCCATGGGGCTGGACTCTCGTTAATGCCACCTGTGCAGGGATATTTGTATTCGTATATGATCAAAAAATAAAGATAAAGATATTAATGGCAACAGCAATAACCCTAAAAACAGATGGCACAGACTAATCATATAAATTTAGAGAGGACAGAGGAAAGGGTGGGGAGAAGATGGTCAGCTAGGGTCAGGTGGAAAGCCTTCCTGAAAAGCAGCGTCTTTAATTGCTTCCTAAATGTGAACAAGGCTAGATGGAGTTCCTCCAGAAAGTGGTTCCATAAAGTTGGAGCCACCGCAAAGGAAGCCCTATCTCTTGTAGGATTTATGGGCCTCCCTCAGGTGGCTACCCAGAGGAGCCTCAACTGGGATGATCTTGTGCATCGGGCGGATGACATTAAGGAAAGACGTTCCGACAAATAACGTGGGCCCAGAGGCACCTGCAAGGCACCATGGAGGATTTCGTATGTGAGTTTCAAAACCTAGAACCTGATCTGGGATGCAACGGGCAACTGGTGGAGTTGAGTCAGAACTGGAGTTATATGCTCAAATTTATTCACACCCACCATCAGTCTGGCTGCTGCATCCTGGACCTGCTGAAGTCTCTGGATCAGACTCGAGGGAAGCCCAACATAGACAGCATTACAGTAGTCGATCCAGGTGATGACCAGGGCCTGCACCAAAATCCTGAGGGAGTCTTATCTAGATAGGGGTGTAGTTGGATGAGCAGCCTAAGCTGGTTAAAGGCTGATCTAGACACGACTGCAATCTGGGATTCCCAAGAAAGCCAGATCCAGAAGAATGCATTGGTCCCTAAACTGGAGAGGAGTACCATCCAGCCTAGGGACCATCCCCTATAACCTATTAGAGTTCCCTCCAGGAGCAAAATCCATTTTGTCTGGATTCAGTTTTAACTTGTTAACCCTGGATCAGGCCAGGAGGTAGTGGACCTACAGCTAGGTATCACCCTGGAGTCTTCCTTCTTTACTACAGGGTCAAACAGACCCAGCTGGGCATTGAGAGATGGGGCAGTGATGGTCACCCCTAGATCAACTAGAATGCTGGTGGAGTCAAAGTTGGCACAAACAGCCTCAATTTTTGCTCTAAAAAAGGCTGCAAACTGGTCACTAGGACTAGTGAACTCAAAACGAAACCTTGAATGGCCAGAACTGGTAAGGCTGCAGGCCACCTGGAACAATTCCACTGGTTGCTTTGGGGCCTCACCAATCCTCTGGATGCTAAAGGTCTGTCTTGCCTTTTTAAGGGTGTTAGCATATGTATTGCTAACACCCTTAAAAAGGCTGTTAACAATAAAGGGCTGTCTTAATTGCAGCCCTATTTTGTGCCATCTGATCTATTCTTCATCTCTTATGTGTCTTGTGGTTGCTTATATATCCAGCCATAAGGTAGATGTGTCAAGGGGAGGGCAAGAATATCAGCTTTCATGTCTCTAAGCCTGGTCTTATTGTGACCTGCTTCTTATCTAATTTGCAAGGAAAAAAACCAACCAAACCAATAATATTTCTTATATGACTTCATTTTGTCAGCCAAAGTAGCAGATTTCAAGCCTGGAGCTAAGAAAGGGGATCAATTTAGAACTGGGTCTGGGAATCCTTCTTCTGAACCTTGTTTAGCAATTTATAACCCCCCCCCCTGTTAATTTCACAGGAAAAATGCTTTTAAATGTGTAACGGTAGAATAGTCTTTTCTTCTCCCCTGATAAATATCGTTTGCTGACCATATTATACTATGTGGCCTCATGTATGTTCACTTACAACTAAGTCCTAGTCAGTTCAGTAGGCTTTACTTCCATAAAAAAGAGGTAGAAAATTGACTGTATTCTCACCCATGTACCGTTCAGCTCAACAGTGTTTACTGCTTAGTATTTAACAACTCACCTGGTTGCCGTGGGTGACTAGGAATTCCATGTAGGTGGGCGAGTGGCCAGGTGGAAGGACAACTTTTTTCCATCTACCAGTTTGGTTTCCATGCTGGCTTCAGAGGAAATAAAGGTTCTTTCACGCTCAACCTACAGCAGATTTGAACACTACTGTTGTGTAACAGTCACAACATCTGTAAAACAGCTGGATTTATCTTGCCTTACTTTGTATGCTGGCTAATTTGACTCGGGTATGAAACTGAATCTCATTACTCCCCACTGTTACTGGGCAAATAAACCATTGGCTTGGGTGTACATTTAGAGAGGATAGGTATTGAGCCTGTGTTCAGAGCAGGTTCTCTGTTGTTGAGGAGCAGGTCCCTCCCCTAAGTCTCAGGTGATATATGCAATTTGAGAAGTGGTTGTTCAGTGACAGAGCACCTGCTTTGCATACAGGTTTGGTGCCCAGTTAGGGCAAGAGTGGGCAAAGTATTGCAACTGTCTGTGAGTTCCTCCTTGTTGGCTGTGCTGTCTAGGATTGATAGAAGCTGCAGTCTGACAACATCTGTTGGGCTGCCCTGTGTCCACTGTTCAGTTAAATGTCCCCAGACAACTGAAGCTGGGAAAGACCTGTGTCCAAGCCCTGACAGATTGTTCCCAATTACAAATAGGTGCAAAATATCCAGGGAAGCCACAGTCAGGTGGAGTTGCATTTATTTACTCTCTAATTTTAGGCAGAACACAGGAAAACTACAGCTCGCGGTAGAAAAGATGGCAAGTTTAAAGCGTGGCATCTTCGACTCCATACAGCTTTGGAACAGACCGAAGTCGCTTAGAGCAGTTGACGGTCGGGCAGGTAGATGATTTGTAGACAGAAATTGCTAGGTTCAGTCCTCACCCTGCCAGGGAGGGTTGTGAAAGACAATCTGCCTGAAAACTCCGGAGAATTGTTCCCAGTGAACGTGGAAGGAGTTAGAAGAATCGGGAGTCAAAATGAGACGGACAGGAGAAAGCTTTGGGGTAGCGGCAGAGCGCGTGACCGAGGACCCGGGGCTGGCGGTCTCTGCCGGTGCCCACCAACGGAGACAGGGACGAAGGCTCCTGGGACTGGGAAAAATAGAAATGAAACTCTTTCGTTACACTCAGGCGCCCCATTCATCTAACCTCGTCGCCCTCAAAAGACGGGAATGGAATATGAGGGAGCCGTTGACTCAGCTGTGAAGCACCCCTCGGCGTGGTGGACCAAAAAAGGGGGGGCGCTGCCTATGTTCAGAGAAGGTCTTCCCTTGACCGCCCCACGGATCCCCCGCCCTCGCGCTGAACAGCTCGGTGGGGGTGGGTTCCTTCTCCGTCTCTTCTCCCCTCTCCCCCCCCCAATGCCGGTGGCTTGGGGGATCTCCCCGGGTGGAGAGGATGCGCGGGAGCCGTCCTCCCCTCGCCGCCTTGATTGGCACCGCGGGACGCGTGCCGGAGGCCGCGGGCCAGCCTGTGCTGCAGGGTGGGAGCAAGTCCAGAGTCCCGATCCTGCCCGCGGGGGCTTCTTTCGACATTCCGCTTCCCGCCGGCACCTTTCCTCTCCCGACACCTTGCCGGCCAGGCTTGGCGGCTGAGAGAGCATCCGCCGTCGGAGACGCTAGCGCCGTGTGAACGCATCCCGGGGCTCCCCCGTGGT